ATTTTTAAAAGGAGATTATTACATATTGTCTATCACTGAAGGTAGGAAGCAGGTACATAGAATGAAGAGATCCAATTAATGACAGTTTTTCTTCCTTTGCTTTTGCACATATTTCCCCTCCCAATACCATCTAAGCTCTAATTAATCAGCATTTTCACAGTATTCAGAAAGTTTCTCTAGGAAGTTGAAAGTGTAGAAGTTATCCGCGGCAAGTGGGTTTATCAGTGTTTCTAGAAGTTGCTATATTTTCCAGTGTCTGAGCTGTTTTTACAACATATTTGCAATAGAAAATTCAAGTCACTAGACTATTTGAAACTCAGAATCTGAACTTAGAATCAAGGAAGATATCTGTACGGCTAAATTTTCTAGTGAATAGTGAGCAACATATGAATAATTTATCAAAATATCAGGCTTGATGGCTATTCTGATTGCACAGATGGAGATTGGGCCAATGTTTCTCACAGAATAACAACTATGGAGTCAAGTTCAGGAAATATTCACAATTAAGGCTTACCCATAAAGTTAAGTTGATGCCAATATTAATTTACTATCAAAAAGATAGACTTGTGGGCCAAATTACCCACATAGACTGATAAGTTGAGGAAAAATTAGGGATAAAGAGAAAACAATTTGGGCACTGTACAAGAAAAGGAGAAATGATAGAGATACGAACAGTTTTTTAAGGCCATTTTCTGCTCTTGTTTTTAATAAAAGGGTTTCAGAAATGAATATAGAGAAGCAATTGCGTGAGGCAACCTATAAGTTCAAGAATGGTTGTATGAAAAAGACTAAATGAAGAAAATTTCCATCACTTGGAAAAGATCCACAGAAACCTTAATCCTATAAAGAACTCAGGTCAGGTCATCTCTGCCCCCACCCCCAACAGTAGGCACATTTCCATTTCCAAAACCTCAGGATGCAGAGCATGCTGAAACACAAGCTCTTGCCTCTATCCTTTCCAGATTGCTAAAAAGACATAATCTTGCTCTTGCAAACAGAAATGCTACAGATATTATTGCAGTATTCACATGTGCAAACTTATTCCCCCCCTTAACTATCCAGACAAGCTCTTCCTTGTATACACCATCTGCCACTCCCAAGATCATATCTATGCAAGGTACACCCATGTATATGGATATAGCTTTGCTTTTAAACATTGTAACAACAGATTTCTCTACCCCATCCAAACAGAGCCACTGAAAAGGAAACTTTGGGTCCTCACTCATATGAAGATATACAAAGCTGTCTGGGACAGATCTGGTATTAATTATCCAGTGCTCTCCACTGGAATAAGTGGTTAATCCCAAGGAGGTTTACACTGGAGACTAACCAACCTGCCCCAGGGTGGATACAGAACCAATCTTGGCTCTAGAGACTATCCCACATCATATGTTGTGCAAATGTGCACTGGCATGAGGCATGGACTTCATTCTACAACAGATGCAATTCTTATGCAGGCATACTTTAAACTAATATATGACCCAAGCACTAAGTTGTCTAGAGATTCTCCTTTTTATAAAATGAATAATAGTTTTGATTCTCAGACTGAACTTGCTCCTCTGTCTGCTCCTTCTTTTCCATCAATGGACTGACAATTACTCTTCACACAGAAACAACAGGTGATTTTATTGCCATAAAGCAGCATTGTAACCAGAGGTCTTGGCTTCCTTCTCATTCTAACCACAAGCTGACTCATTTTGATCTGTCAGGTTTGTGCAAATAGTTGCAAATGTGGTGGGAAAGACAGCATATACTCTAGGCTATCCTTCCTTTTCTTCATATTTACTACAAACTTTGAAGAGTTTTCCTTGTGGTATCTTATACATACACGGCTTAGACAAACTGAGAAATAGACTTTTAAAGGAACTCAAGGATAATTTTAAAGAATTCAAATAGCAGGGGGAAGGGAAAGTTGTGTTGATTTTCTCTTCATAGTAATTGTATTCCTTGCAGATTTGTGTCTGAGGCAGGAAGAAGTTGATATTATTTTCTTTAGGCAGATATTTGGTTTACTCCTGATCTTAGATGAAAAGTAGGTGCAGTTGGGGGAAAGGGCTGTGGAATCAGCAGGGATGTTGGTTATTTTTATGACTGAATGATTTAAAAAACCATTTTCAAATGGAGACACATTTTTTTAAAAACTTTTTTTTTTTTTTAAACCTTATGGCCCACATACTTAGATGAGAACCAGTACTGTTTTGGCATGGAAAATAAAATAATAAACTTCTTTCATTTGATACTTGCTGTGAAATAAAGATATACTAAGTTCCTAAAGATGAAAATTTGTCACTCTGTTGTCCCGGCTGCCATCTTATATCCCTGGCAATTTTTTTCCATTGGATTTATTCACATATTTTACCTCTTAAATAAGCAAAGCCTGGTTTTACATCATTCATATATAATATGTGTGTGTGTGTGTATAATATATAGTGTTGTTACTGCCCCTTCCGCTTTAATTCAGCAATATATATATATATATATATATATATATATACACACACACATTATATATATACATACATATATATGTATGTATGCATATATATGTGTGTGTGTGTGTGTGTGTGTGTATCTCAGAGAGAGAGAGAAAGGGGGAGAAGAAAGGTTGGGGAGGCATAGGGATATAATAGGAGTAAAAGAGATACAAAATGTGTTTGTTGCCATCAAAAAATGATAATCTCTATAATGGATTCTTCCCCATGAAAAAGTCTGACAACCAAGCCTATGTGACTCAGAAACTCATGAAACCTTAATGGAAGATGCCTTCACTGTTCTTGAATCATTTGCATTCCTCAGTAACATAAGGCTCTTTTGAGTACAACCATATGCAGCTGGAAAGGAACTGACTTGCTATCACTTTATGAAGTTGGACTTCATATGAGCAATATTTGTAAAGGCCATGAACTTCAAAAGAGGTTTCCTCCCTTATTAAGGTGTCTTCTCCCTCATGGCAAGATTCATGGTTAATATTTTAAATAACAACTGGAGAAGAATGATTCCTCAGCAGGGGAGACAGGCAAGAGGGTTGAGTATCTGTGCTTATTGGTCACCAAATCCAATTTGATCTGAGACACAAAAGTCAGCTTCTGTGGACATGTTAGTCTCTTTATCTGCAATCAGAGACTTTGGTGTTTATCTAACTTGGTCTTTATCCTCAGGAGTCAATCCAAGTTTCTAGAAGTAATCATAACAACCCTCCTTTGTTTATAATAACTAGGTGCAGTGGTGACATGATGTAAGCAGAAGAAAAAACAAAAGCCAAAGTGTGGATGATTTCTATATATGAACCACACACTTACCTTCTTAATCATTATAACACTTTGATGCTAAAATTAGTTTTCATTACCTAACCAATACTGGCTAGTAACAAAGGGATCTACTTTAGGATAAAAAGCACAGAAAATGTCACTTCAAGACATGTTGTCTAAGTTTGAATCTAGATACTGTGCCTTCTCTTGTTCTTTTATTCTTCCCTCCCAACCCAGTAACTGCTAGTGACTCCTACAGAAGCAGTTGCAAGTGAAGTCTGAAAAGTAAAGACATGTAGAGAAGTCCAGTTGTCAGATATCAAGCCAGTTCTCTGCATCCTGTTACATGCTTGTTTTCACTTCCAATAAAACAGTGTCAAAATGGACTTTCAGACCAGAAACTGGTGAGAAGTGAGAGGGAGACAGCAAGAAGGCTCAACAAGTCTGAGAATAGCTCAGTGTATCTACTAAGGTGACTGTTGGTGTCCATGTTTTCTCAGCCATTTCAGAGCTGTGTCTGCTTCCTTCACTGCTGCCACTGAGCCACATCCTGAAAAAGCTTCACTTAATGAGTTTCACTTGTTTCTTGCTTGACACCTAGATATTCTTTTTGGTTTAGATATGTATGTGTGTGTGTGTGTGTGTGTGTGTATATACACACACACACACACACACACACACACACACACACGTGAGGTTCAGGGTGCGAACATTATGTTTGGGGCAATGTCTCCCTCACTGCTTTTTTCCTGAGAAATCCTGTTTGTGTGTATCCATCTCTCTCAAGTGATGGTCATTTGTGTGCTCAAATTCACCCCTCAATGGTTTCATTCTCTTATCCACAAAAGCAGTGTGAGCCAAAACTGCCCTATGATTTCTGGCATTTCCAGTGGAAAGGAAACAGAGGGGCCAAGTCATGGCAGAGCTTTCCCAGTTGGGCCTTAAACTACAAAAGCATCATGGTTTCCCTTCCTTCCCAATTACCACTCCTTCCCTGGTTCCTGTCCCCTTTCCTATCCCGAAGAGTTGACTAACCTTCCTCTCTTCATCATGGGAAAACACATCTTGCTCCACTTCGAGGGATGAACAGCAGGTGCTGAGGGTCTGTGGAAACTGAGGCTTGCCAGGGTAGCTTGGCTGAATGGGTTCCTGAAAACGGGCATCTCCAACTGCTTCCTCACCCAGTGAAGGGGTGAGATAATCAGGTCATGGACATTTTTATAGCATAGCACTAGTACGTTTACTAAGCCTCATTCCAGACAAATCAATCAAAACTTACATTTTTCCCAAGATCCCAGGTGAATGAATTGCAGGCATGTGGAAGTTTGATAAGCATTATTCTAACTTGCTAGACGCTAGACCAAGGCTCTGCAAATTATAATTCATGGGTCAAATCTGGTCAGCTACCTGTTTTTGTAAGTCAAATTTTACTGGAACACAGCTACACTTATTTTTGAGAATTGTCGATGGCTGTCTGCACACTACAATGGAAGAGCTAGGTAATAGAGACCAGATAGCCATGAAGGCTGAAATATTTACTCTCTAGCCCCTTAAAGAAAAAATTTGCTAGCTTCTGCTTTCTTCTATCATGACCTTCTGCTGTGATGTTCTGCCTCACCGTGGCTTAGAGCTGTGGAGTCAGCCATCTGTGGAAGGAGACTTCAGAAACTGGAAGCCAAAATAAACTTTTCCTCCTCTAAAGCAAACAAACAAACAAACAAGTTTGCTAGCTCTTATGTTATAGACTTCTTAAAAATGAAAATTTGATTTTATTTTTCTCTGTAACATAAAAGGCAGCTTAGTGTATTATAGTGGTTATGTATTTAGGATCAGAGGTGGACTGACAAGCTTTTTGTCTAGGCTAACCCATTTCCTTCCAATGGACTGTGAGGATAGCTTATCTTTTAGGGGCAGGTGGAGCATGGGTGGGATCTCTTATATAACATGAAATGCAAGCAAGTTTTATGGGATGGAAGTGTCAAAAGATTCCTTAGAATTCACTGTTATAGGAATTTTATGGTGTGTCAGGTTATCGTCCACCGACTTTGTGCTGCATCTGAGCCAGAACCGATAGTGAATTTAAAGCAATCTAGGTCTGCAGATACACATGAGGGGAAAGTATGGGGAAAGAAGGGCAGAGCTACCCATCTCCACCTCACCAAAGTAGAATGGTCTTCACTGAAAGAGTCACAGGATCAGCTTTAAAGTGTCCTGCCAGACCCCTGCAATTCCACAAGCTACCCTGTTGTGAAAGTCTAGGGTAGAAGATGCTTCCAGAACTTTAAAATCAAGTTACTGTCATAATCAACTTTAAGGCCAGAAGGGGTCATGAATGATTATCTCATTCATTTCCTTGCCCTTTGGCAAGAGTAGCATACCTAAGCCTTTTGATTACAACATAACATAACTATGGTTAGGAGCCACCAAAGGAGGTAAAAAGTAACATGGTTTCACAACTTTTTTCTACGAACAACTTTAATTGTGTGCTCGTTACCTACTTCAAAGTCTACAAGAACCCAGATGTTGATTCTTGATGCCCCACCCCATTCTAATTGGTCTAATTCTTAAAGACTCTTCTTCTCCCTGTAAGAAGATTTCATGGTTCAGTGAAAACAGGGTACAAAGAGGCAGGTATGATGCTAAAGGGCTGAGGGGTTAGCCATGGTCTCCTGGTGGCACCCTGGAAACTTTTTTTCACCAGATATTCATGTACACTGAATGGGCGGCACTTTCCTTGTAACTCCATACGGCCCCTTTTCTACTGGCAATTCCTTTGAACTGTTCCATCTCTCTAGTGGACACTACAATCTGCTGGAGCACCTGTCCTCATTGCTTGGTTCTTAAAGACTAACTAGATCATTAAGGAGCAGAAAGTTAAAACTAATCCCTGCAAGTATGCTAATATTATCTGTTCAGAGTAAAACCTTTCTGCTAAAGACGTATGAAGAAAGAACTCTTTACTCTCTGGGTTTCTGGGCATCCCCAGTCATGAAGCAAGTACTTTCCCTTCTCTTTGGAAACATTGAGGCTGAATATATATATAATTTCCCATGTGATTGTGTTGAAGATAGAAGGAAGGTCACAAATCCAATAACTCAATGGCTTTTGGGCAGGGGGTTGGGAGGAAAGCTAATAAATAAAATCTGTGTTGCAAATCCCTTTCAGGAAAGGGTGTGAAGGGTGGGGTGGATTTACCAGAAGTTCTGGCAGTTTGCTTTGAAACCTTCTGGAGAGGAAAAGTGTGGCCACCCAAGGGAGCAGCATTCACAGCACCCTCCATTAGGCTGCTGTGCTGGACAACAGCCAATGAGTGAGAAGTCCCTTAAGAAATATTTTCCTTCCCTCTTCTTTTAGAATTGTTAGGAAACTAGGTAGGACCAGGGAATCTGACTTTCAAGAGTGGCCCTGAATGAATTTTTAGTTTCCAGGTGGGAACAGAGAACTCAGAAGATTGTTTTCTCTTCCAAGGATATCTGGCTATAGTTTTTTCTTATTCTTTCCAGATCTTGATCTTGTGTGTTCATGGATTAGGCACATGTATGTACAGGATCAGATTTCTGGCAGTCTTACAGAGGAGGGCAAAAGTAGAAGCAAAAGGGGCTCATTCCTCTACTTCACAGCTTCCTTCTCCAAAGTACACAGGATCTACCACGAGCAACAATACAAACACCACAAAAAAAAAAAAAAAAAAGCCATGGACATGAATATGCATGCAATTGTACATATATATCCTTGTCACCTGCTACAAATGGAGTGGGACTCATAGGAGAATTGAGCCACTGAAACCTAGGCCTTGTAAGGTGATTCCTGAGGTCTGGGCATCCTGACTGGTCTCTGGGTGGCTAAGTCTCCTTTCTCAACCTGTGAAGATCATGTGAATAACCCCTAGCTAAGGGCAGACTTCCATCCTCTTGGGGATGCCTGGGGTATCTGAGGCAGAAGTGTTTGAGGCAGATTCCTCATCAGATGCACTGAGATTCAAGAATTCTATGATGATGTCTCCAAGGCAGTAAATCAAATGTCTGAAACAAATAGATAAAACAACTTAGAGAAGAATCTGGCTGAGTCAAGAAACATAAGATCCTATTTGTGACATTTATTTTAGCTTCCCCCTTCACCCGTTACTGATAACTTTGAACTGCAGCATTTTGATAAAGTGTCTCCCAAGATGTTTACTGAACTACTAATAAGTGTTTGTTGAATTACTAAAAGCTACAACCATAATAATGGCAATAACAGTACTTGAGACTAGATTTTATAAATTGCCACTTCTTTTTACATTAGCACATAAGACTATTCTGAAGAACTATGAGGGAAAATCCCTGTGATATCACATTACTAACTACTGCTTCTTCTTAAGATTAATAACTACAGATTTATAGGCTACCTTATAGACAGTGAGACAAAGTCAGGACTCTTGAGGAGTGGCAGTTGAAAGACACAATCTCATCTATTTCATATTAAGCAGAGACAACCCCTAATCTCAACACTGGTCAAGTTTTGCAGTGAGGCTAGGATTCTATGTTAAAAATCTATAATTCTATGTTAAAAATTCTAAGGGGAGCACAGCTACTCATACGCCCTTGACTGAAGAATGGGCTTCCTCTTAGGGGAAGGTTATCCTCTTTACTAAGTGTCCAGCTTCTGAAAGAATGCACAGGGAACAGTGATGAAGGAAGGGAATGCCTGCCTCACCAGCCAGATCAGCCTAATCAACTCTGGAAATCAATGGGGTAGTAGATGTAGTAGCCAGATTGCCCTCACATCCAACTATTATGTATAATTATAAAGCACCAATAAAAATTAATAAAAATCATTATGTGGCTTATAATGCATAGGCCAAGGTATGTTCTTGCAGTGTTAACATGGCTGACAGATGGTGGAAAGAACTGTTAAGCACACTGGACGAGCCTGGAACAGGGTTTTAGCAGCTCATATGGAGTTCTGTGCTGAGTTCTTCCAAATACAAATGGGGGCTGGTCCCATAGTCACTTACTACCATAAAATGACCTGCTCAGAAGTCTGGATTTTACTTAATGTGTATGGAACCTGGACTTAGACTTTGCAGTCAAGTCCATAGCAAGTCTAGAATTCCATTCTCAATGTGGGCTTTAGAAACCCTGCATACCTCTGGGACCACAGACAGCCTTATCTGTGTTGATACTGGGTACACATGTTTTAGCCTACCTGTTGATGAGTGGCTGCTGTAATGATTCCAAGACTAGACTCCAGCTCAACTGGCATTTGTTCACCCCTAGGATTTCTATTAAACAATCTAGTGTGGAAAAAAAAAAAAAGATAGAATTTTTTGTTACTACTTAAGTCTTAGGGTCTAAGGAGATTGTCTCCCCAGGATCTCTGCCATCTTACAAAGATTCAGTAATTTTGGCATACCTCTAAACCATGTAGTTAAACGAAATTTTCCTAAACTAAAGTCAAGAAAAATAAGTTTCTTCAGTTAGGTGCCTAAATAAAAATAGGCCTCAAGAAATAATTTTGTAACCTGCCACAAAAGAACTGGTATTACTTATGAGGTAATGGTTTAGGTTGGAGAAGAGAAGGTTAGGGTAAATAAGGGTAAATAAAACAGACTGCCCAGAGTTGCATTCACCACTGTCATCTAGTTACCACAGCCACAGGTGACAAGCTGCCTTTCCTGCCCTTTAAAACAACATAAAGGAAGAAAAACTTTCTTGGGTTTTGTCTCTACTTACTATTAAGGGCTCAATTTATGAAGTCTAAGTTTTTGTAGGATGTATCATGTTCTTCCCTGGTCCCAAGATGCCATGAATTGGCAGAAAACCAAGTTTTCATCTGGTGGGAAGGGCACAGCTTCCTTAGACCTGCCCAAGGATTATGAACCCAAATACCTACAGGATTCTCCCCTAATATTTAGGGTGTGGCCATAGTGATCCATTTCACTGTTTTGTCATCACCTAAGTGAGGACTAAAAGAATCACAGCCATGACCATTTTCCTACTAGTTGGCAAAATGGGTGGGTAGGGGGATCAATAGGTTTTTGAGTCTAGCTATGTTCAGAGCTCTTCTGAAAATGGGGAAGGATGTGGGGCAATGGTGGCAAAGCAGGATGGGAGGAGAAGAGCTCTCAATATAATCAATCTCTTTATCCAATTACCTGGCAGGACTCCCATCAGGCTCTGCAAAGCTTGCTTCTCAGTAGCCACTTTCTGTTCCTGAGTCCTTACAGGCCGCGGAAACTTGGGAAGAACTCCACCAGGCCAGATGGACTCCCGAAGAAGCCGGAGGTACTGCACCCAGTGCTGTGGACACGTGAGATTAGCTACCTGCACTTCTAGCCACCTATGATACAAAAGAAAAGAAATCTCAGATTAACCTGGGGAAAAAAATGGTGCAAGACAATGAACTGGATGTTTATATCTCCCTCCTAGATTCAAATATTGAAATCCTAACCCTCAATGAGATGGTATTAGGAGGTGAGGACTCTGTGAAGCGATTAGGTCATGGAGGAAGAGCCCTCATGATGTGATTAATGCCCTTATAAAAAGAGGCCCAAGAGATCATGTGAGGACACAGGGGAAGACGGCAGTCTATGAATCAGGAAGTGGGTCTTTGCAAGATATAAAATTTGTTAGTGCCTTGATCTTGAACTTTCCAGCCTTCAGAACTGTATGAAATATACCTAGTTGTTTATAAGCCACTCAGTTTATAGCATTTTCTTATAGTATCCCCAGTAGATTAAAATAGAATAAGTCATGTGAACAATTAGAATAGGACAAAGCAAAGTCACAACCAATGCTCAAAATCAAAACCAAGCCAATTCAATAATGGGGATTAAAAATTTGAAGTTGAGTAACAATAATAGTGTTATTTACTGATTCACTCTGAGCCACATGTTGTACAAGGGTTTTATAGAACAGAACACTAAAAGGGCCTCAATCTTGAGTTAAGGTTGCATCTAACCTTTCCAGTAGGAATCATTAGAACCTTCTAAGTAACCTGTACACACAGCCTTCAGAGTTAAGGGTTTCGTGATTTTCACACAACAAACCCTTAACCTTCTTTCTTGTCACCCTGGCATGTCCAGTTGGTCTTCAAGTCCCTATGACCTATTTTGAGGAGTTTCTAGACCTGCCCTCTCCTCTCAAGTAATAGAAGTCTGCCACTTTAACACTCCTTGTTTAGCTGTACCTCCTCCGGGAGGTCCTTCTTGACCTGCTCATTCAGAGGTGCTCTCTTCCTGCTGAGACCTGTTCTAGTCCTTAGTGCTGGATCACAAGTTTGGAGCTAATATTTTACTTTAGAGTATGAATGATTTCTCATTTGTTTATATCTTTGCTTCTTCAACTCAATTGTAAGTGGCACAAGAGTTCTGTGTCTCCTACTTCATAAAAATTTCCCAAAATATTTTATGCTCAAAAACGTATGTTAAGTGACAATTGTTTTCAGCATAACAAATACTTCCCCTTTTTTCTTCCATATACCAAATCCAAAGTTCAACTAAAAACCCAGAAGGTGTCTCAACATTATTTGTTCCTGTATTTTTTTTTTTCCAGAGTGACATAATCACTAGTTGAGGTTTAAGACTGTCAAGGTCTCCTTAGTAGACCTGGTTGGAGGCTGGCATGGCTAAGCTGGTCATGGATGGATCTTCTACCACTTCTATTCATGTCCAGAAGTCTGTTTGGGACCATACCACATAGCAGCTCACACCATTGCTCCTATACCCAAATTACTTGTAACCCGTCCAAGAGCAGAAGGGGCTGCCAAGGCAAACTTTATTTAACCTCCACTCTGCCAGACAGTCTGCATTCCGCTCAAGCTGGGCATTCCAGTCCTGGGGGCTGCAATCCCCCAAGCCCAGGGCTCACAAATGATTCTAAGAATAGGAAGTCTGAAAGGTAATAGCAGGGCAGGAATGGCAGACATCGATGGAGATCAAGAGCGGCACAAAGCTGCTCTAGCCCAAAATAGCCATCGCGATCGTGTCTGTTATTATTAGGGCTGCATCTCCTTTTCACAGGGCTTTTCATTCAGCAAGCCTAAGCCTCCTGATGAGAGGGATCCAGTGGCAAGAATTCCTGTTCCTGTTTATAGAAGAGGGTCACCAGAGGGAGAAGGTTGTGATGACCTGATTAAGTTCTCTGCAGAGGATCAAGTGACCCAAGGACTCCCTTCTTCACCTCAAGCCACATACACTTCTGTGCCTTTCATGGAAGTGAACAATATGTACTAGGATGTCATCTAAGAGATCTGCAAGAGAGGGACAAAGTCTTGCTAATCAAAATTTTTGAGAAGCCTGGAGAATCAAAGAATAAGACACATTCAGACAGAATTAGTTCTAACTATGCTTCACATTCACATATGCAAATAATAAGCCACTCTGCCCTTATTTCTGTTGTCTGGAGCCAAAAATGCCTGTGATTCAAACTCTTCAAAGGTATCTCAGCATCTATCCATTCCTTCCTAGATTAAGCACATTATACAACAGCTAATTTGGGCATCAGTCATCTTTTGGGCATGCCTTACAAGATAGGAGCTGTATTCTTTTGAATTGGCATCACGTGGTGGGGACAGGACCTTGCACTGCATTATAGCAAGGATTTCCTTTTTATTCTCTTTCTATAGTGATTTGGCATCTTGTGCACATATGTTGAGTGCAAGATGAATTTTAGTATGTGGCAAAATGGTGAATTTATACAAATCTATAAGAAAACTTATCAAACTCTAAGTGGGAATATTGGAAAGAAGCATTAAAGTCTGAAAAGGTAAAATCAAGCATCCAATGATAATGATGAATCAGTAAGTTAAATGAATTTGTGGGAGTTAACTGGGAGAACTAACCACAAAGAGAACTGAAACCTCCAAGTAAAATGCCAACTGCTAACAGAAGAAAGACACTGTCAAGGACTTCAAACTTGAGGCCCAGAGCTGGTCAACAGAAGGCCCTGAAAGTTGGCCCTAGGGATGTACGAAATAAGACTCACACAAATTGGCAGAAGTGAAACAAACTTTAGGTTTACAACTAGGTACAGAGGTTACAAAGTGGCTTCTGGGTGCCAGCTTTCCTTATTCTTTTCCATACTTTACAGACTACATGCTTGCACTACATGAGATTTAAACATTCACCCTCTTTCCAGAATTTTCTTGCCCAGGCCTTTTCTCCTCTTTCTTCTCCTCTCAGAAAGCAAAAACTTTCTCTCAGACATTGGGTTGAGTCCCAGGCAGCATGTGTAGAAGGCTAAGGGCAACAACTCTTTCTTGTGTACAAAATGCACAGCACTTATGAGGGCTGGTATATTATCCTGAAAACCAGACATTCCAGTCTAGAAAGAAAAACAACAAAGCCCAAACCAAGAAAATCACAACTACCCCTGCTCCTCATTTAATACAACTGCTAAAATTTGTGAGCCATAATCCAATTCTAAAACATGTTTTATTATTACACATGATACTTTTCTAAAGTTATAAATGGCTAGATACAGGGATCTGGTATAATTAGCCTTGTCTGACACCTAGGTAGGACTGAATGCCAATAGGTGCTTGCTAACAACAAAGAGGGTAGAATCTCTTCTCTCGTGTCCATACTTGTATTTTATTCTATCGTTCTGCTCTGAAGTGAAGCACCATACATACCATCATTTCTTTATCTAACTTTATCAACTTAGAAACTGAGCAAGAGCAGAGAGAACAAACAGATTAGGCATAGGAGTGTTAGAAGAGAGACTGATCCCTTGACCCTTCCTTGTTACGTCCCTGCATCTTTCTAGTCCACACATTGTCTTTATATTTTTAGCATAGGAGTAGGAAGATAAAAAACAGATCTGTGTCCCTATAGCACTCTTAAAGCAAAAGGGATGAAACTGATGCACCACAGTAGCTTTTCAACATCAACTTCTGGAATCTGTTTGTATAAAAATCTAAAGTTTCAAGGTGGATACACACATGTGTCCTTCCCACTGTTTATTATAAATTACTTATAATAAGTCATTTACTAAATACAAATGTTGTTGTTTATGTAATTCAAGATGCATGAGGTAAATATGCTAAAATAAATATGGTAGATAATAACCTCAAATAGCATTGGTTTTATTTTCCATCACTATTCCAGTTTTGATATTTGATTTAGAGAGATATCTGTCATGCATTTTATCTTTATCCAAAGAAAAGAAGGGGAAAACCTAAATCAGGTCTTTTATGTCAAGCCATCTCTGAAAGATGTAGAGCATAAGGCAGTCTAGAGCATATTAGGGGGCCCAGAAATAAACAATAACACGTCAAAAAGCAACAGGCTGACAAAGACATTTAAGAGTGTCTCTTATATCAGGCACAGAAGGAGGATGTGGAGGATGAAGGCTTGCCATCACACCAGGAATGCATGTCTCCTCCATGCTCAAGGAAAACTGGTCTGAAATAGCTATAGATAGAGGAATGAATGAACCAGTGGCTAAAAAGGAGATAGTTTAACAGCAGGGCTTATGATGACACTTCAAGGTTAGCAGAAGGTCATTTTCCATCAAAATAGCAGAATCAAATTTCATAAGTAAGGGGAGAACACTCTAGAGATGATGTCTAATCCAGTTAGCCAAATTTACTTCTTTTCTTTTCAAGCGTGCTGCCATGACTAAGTGAGGAAGGGACCTGAATAAATGGTTTAATAGGAAAGAGACTGGGAAAATAGTGAATCATAAAATAGAAAACCTATAAATATTCAAAAAAATATCTGGTGCATTCTCAATGAAAGAAAATGACAAGTTCATTCCTTATGGCATATTTATTCACTGGGTTGAACCTCAGAGAAAACCCAAAGGTTGTTACGCTCAAACTTCATCCTAAGCTAACAACTACAGTTTAAAGAAAAAGAGACAGAAAAGGGTAAGGAGGTTAAAACTGATCCTGAATGGCTCCTTCTTGTGTTTATGGACAGCTTCTATTATTCCAAATAGGCCTACAGTAGATTACAAGTGTTGACTCATTTTATGATCCCTGTAACAGGGTTTTTGATCTTGGTACTATGGATGCTTTGAACTGCTAATTCTTTGTTGTGGAGTCGAGGGCTGTTCTATGCATTGTAAAATGTTTAGTGCACCCCTTCTCCTCTAGACTCCTAAGTAGATGCTAGCTGTGAAAGTCAAAAGTATCTCCAGACATTGCTACGTGTCCCCTGAGGATGAAATGGCACCATCTGAGAATCACTGCTTTCAGTGTAGAGTCTTTTGGATCCATGTATCAGGGTACTTTCACAGTCATTTTAAACTTTGTAGTTATACAACAATATTCCTCAAATTGTGGACATGATTGGAAGTTACTTGTGGCAACATTTTAAGAAATCGAAATACAAA